GGGCAGGGCTGGGGGGACACGGTGGGTCCAGGAGACACACAGCACATCCCAGGGACACACAGCACGTCCCTGGGGACACGGTGGGTCCCAAGGACATGGCACGTCCCTGGGCACACACAGCACGTCCCTGGGCACACACAGCACGTCCCTGGGGAACACACAGCACATCCTGGAGGACACACACAGCACATCCCAAGGACACACAGCACGTCCCTGGGGAACACACACAGCACATCCCAAGGACACACAGCACGTCCCTGGGGCTCGTGGTGGACCCCGAGGACACTGCACATCCTGGGGGACATGGTGGAGCCCAAGGACATGGCACATCCCAGGGGGGGCACACCCAGCAGGTCCTGGGACCCCTGGTGGATCCCAGGGCACTTTCACAGCCAGGAGGTTCACAGGTTATTGTTTAACCCCATAAAACCCCAAGGTGCAAGGGAAGGGAAGAGGAAGCAGCCCTGCAAACACCCATTTCCCCGCCCAGCTGGGGTTTGCTGGGAGCTGGATCCAGCCCAGCCCTCCCTCCCCGAGCCAGGCCCAGGTGAGACACAGGGGATGGAGCAGCACCTGCAGCTCGGGGAGCACCCAGGGCAGCAGCAGGACTTGGAATAACACTGGAGAACAACCTCCAGCCATCCCCAGACACCCCGTGCTCACGTTCACCCACCTCTGCTTTGGCCCAGAAATTGTCCTTATTGACCCTCTTGATCTCAGACATGGCGTTTGTCTTCTGGTACACAGAGCCCTGAGCAGACACAGACAAAACACCTTTCTGGCACCTTTTGTCACACATCAGCCCAAACCAGCCCGGTCTGGGACCTCCCTGAGAAGAAGTTGAGAAGTTCCCATAACCTGATGCTTTGCCCCACAGTTTAAAGGAGGGCTGGGCTGGGTGAGGCCAGCGATGTGCACCTTGCCAAAAATGGGGAATTGCTGGCCCTGGCACAGGAGGCTGCTCCATCCCTGGAGTGTCCCAGGCCAGGCTGGATGGTGGGAGGTGTCCCTGCCATGGCAGGGCTGGCACTGGATGGACCAGAACCCCCTCAGGCCCTGGCAAGGTCCCCAAGTTCTTCCTGGACCCTTTAACTCCCCAGGCTGAGCATCCCACAGAGGGGTCGATGCCCAGGGCGCCCCTTCCACCGTGGGGTCAAAGAGGCCCCAGCAGCCCCCCTGCCCCAGCTCACCACGGGCGCCTGGGGCCCCGAGTCCTGGAACTTGCTGCTCTCCTTGTGGAAGCTGTAGTTGGCCCCCGAGGCCTTGGCCACCTTCTCCATGATCAGCTCGGGCTCCACGTCCTCCTCGGCCCGGGCGTTGATGGTGACGTGAGCGCCCTGAGCACAGGAGCCAGCAGGGGCTCAGGGTGAGCCTGGGAGCCCCCAGACCCAGCAGGGGCTCAGGGCTGACCTCAGAGACCCAGCAGCTGCCCCAGAGCTCCCAGGGCAGGGAACAGGAGGAGATGCCCAGGGGGATCATTTGGGCAAGGGGCTCTGCTGGAAGGATGCAGCTTCCTTCCTTGCATCCCACTTGCCCTGGGATGTGCCCCTGTGTCCCTGAGGGTGGCAGGGGGCAGAGGGGGTGGTCTGAGGGCCCCCCACCCAAAACATTCACTGAAGGGAGGGCAGAGCAGGCTCACACCTTGAGGAAGTTGGCCACAGTGCTGACGTGGTTGGCGCAGGCTCCTTTCCTCACGTCGTTGACACCTTCACCTGTCTACAGGGGACACCAGCAGCTCACCTGAGCCCCTTGGGGTGCATGAGCCCCTCCCCAGCCCACCTGAGCCCCTCCCCAGCCCACCTGAGCCACTCAGGGCTATCCCAGGGCTGTCCCCAGGTGTCTCCCCACTCACCCAGGGCTATCCTCAGGTCTGTCCAGCTGTCCCCATCTGTCCCCATTCTCCCAGAGCTGTCCCCAGGCCTGTCCCCATTCACCTAGAGCTGTCCCCAAGCCTGTCCCTGCTGTCCCCAGGTGTCCCCACTCACCCAGTTGACCAGGACGTATTTGGGCAGCCCCGAGTTGGGGTCCCGGACGCGGCAGAAGCCGTACATCACCTTCCCGCTGTTGAGCTCCTCCACCATCTCCTCCAAGCCCCCCTCTGTCCCGGGAGGGAGCACAGGGTGAGCCCAGCGTGCCCTGAGCTTGGGGGGGCACCCAGAGCCCCCCAGAGCCCTCCCAGCCCTGCTCCCCCCAGGCTTCTCCATGAGCTGGAGGCTGCCCCCAGCCCAGGTTTGCTCTGAGAACACAAAACCTGAGCATTGCCCACCCACCCCCGGCAGCCTTCATCACCCCGCTCCTCTTCCTCAGGCCTCCCCAAACCCCACCTGGCTCTGAGATCCAGGACCCCACCCAGGTGAGGGAGAGGGGGAAGGAGCTGCTGACACCCCCTGACCCATCAGGAGCTTCAGCCAGCTCTGCCCACTGGTTCCTGCACAAAGTCACGCTCAGGAACACTCAGGGAGGGGGAATGGGGCTGGGGAGGAACTGGCTGGGCCTTGTTCCTGCTCTGCAAGATGGGAAGTAGAGCAGGAACCAAAAAGGGGCAAGGTCCTGTTAGTGCACCATGGGGAAACTGCTGCCCCAACGCTTCTGTCCCTGTCACACCCACCTGGAGAGTCCCAGAGCTGCTTTGGGGAGCTGGGAGTGAACCCCAAAGGGAGAATCCCACCCAGGGCTCAGGCAGAGGCAATGGGAAGGGAACAGATCGCTCCCTCCACACCAACAAACCACAGGAAAGGAGGAAAGCCACCAAAAATGCACTCTTTCATCCCAAAACCATCCTCCCTCCATGCTGGGCTGTGTGAGCCCTGGGGAGTGGGAGAGCAGCCCCTGCTCCTTATCAGCCTGGCAGGAACAGGGAGCCCCGCACAGCTCGCCCTGCCCTGCTCTGCAGAACCACCCGGATCGTTTCCCTCTGCCATTAAACATTCATGGCCTGCCTCTAAATTTGGCTCCAAACCCGGCAGGGAAGCTGGGGGTTGGAACTCTGGAGCTGGTGGGTGAGGGAATGATGGGGGGAGCTCGGGGCATGCCCTCTGCAGCCCCCCAAAACTCCCCAAAAAATACCCCAAAAGCTCCCCCAAAAATACCCCAAAAACTCCCCAAAAAATACCCCAAAAACTCCCCAAAAAATACTCCAAAAATCTTCATTTGGGACCCAGCAAGATTCTTCCTCAGCAAATCTCCCCAGCACCAAAGCCCTGGGCTCCCCCAGACCCAGGAGCCTCCACAGGCTGGGAAAAGCTCCTGGAAACTGAGGCAGAAGCTGGGGAGGGATGAGAGGATGCAAATCCCAGCCTGGACATGGAGCTGCTGCTTCCTGGAGGCTGAGGCTCCCCAGGCAGGGGTGTCTCAGACACACAACAAAGGGAAAAGAATGGCAGGAAGGAGGGAACGGGGCACGAGGGGCTTTGGCAGCGCTGGGCAGGGTCAGAGCCTGGTCAGGGCTGAGAGAGGGGCTCTGCCCAAACCCGGGATTCAAACACAAGGAGCAGCCAGGATTAGGGGATGGACCCCAAAATCAGCCCCAAAAACCTGGAAATAGGGGGATGGCTCCCAAAATCAGCCTCAAACCCTGGAAACAGGGGATGGTCCCCAAAATCAGTCCCCAGATCCCTGAAACAGGGGATGGTCCCCAAAACCAGCCCTCAAACCCTGGAAACAGGGGGATGGTCCCCCAAATCCTCACCTCCAGAGCCGGCCACTCGCAGGTCATTGCTGTTGCCTTCGTAGGTGAACAGAGCCCTAAAATCAAGGCAGAAATGGGATTTTCATCCAGCTTTAGTGCTTATCTGGGGTGCTCACATACCCCTGGTACATTCTGAGGTGCAGAAACCCACGGGGACCCCCTGAGACCCCCAAGGACCCCCTGAGATCCCCA